CAGATATGTGAACAAGTAATTATGACGAAAGGTAACTTGTTTGTGTAGCAAAATACCCTAACAATATCTTGATGAACTTTGTTTTGCGTAATTTTATTTAGTCATTGACCCTAATACTATTTTTTTCTTCAGCTCCATGAAAACCGATGAAATAAAATTTCCGCTTCATTTTGGTCGAAGAAATAGTCGGCATTTTGCTCCAGATATCTACAGTACAGACAACAAAAAGACGTAAGTTTGAGCAATTTTACCAATCAACAGTTTATTTCTATCCTTAAGTACTCGTATTTTAATGAACTACTTTGGCGAGGTTTGTCATCGGATTGCGTAATCACCTGATAAGATTGTGAAGTTCTCTGGTGAACGCAATTGTCGTTGTTTGAGAGTGGAACACAAGTCACATCATTCGTGAATAAATGAAACCAGATTAGTATTGCGTTCTCCACACTGTTCATATGAGCTTGGAAGTTGACAGTTCTGGCAAGTGATCTCGTTTTATTATCGGGTTGTTGTATAACTTGTCGCGTTGAAATAAAACACAAGTCATAGATACCGTAACATGATAAAGGAGGCCTAAAGTACACTCCAACTGATCAAGAGGTGTGTCTTATGAAGTAAACACCGTTTCGACCTTGTACGTGAAGGCAGCATTCGACTTTCATTTGACATGCGGCCCTTTCTGTCACATTTCTCATAAATCACCCGAGTCGCCTGATAATTGCATTCGCTTGATTTTAAGTTTATTATTTTATTATTTTGTGTGTACCATCTCCGCCCTCCCATATTTCAGCCGAATTATGTAAATTGTGACGTGTGAGCCAAAGAAGATGAAGCACAGAAATAAAGTCGTGTTCGCTACGATATTTTCTACTCAAAATGTTTGTTGGTGGTCTAATCAGGCCGAGGTTAAATTGTCATATAAATTCCCAACACAACCGTGTTCGTTGCTGAAAGTGATACCCGGGGAAATGCTGTTCCATGCACCGATCTCCATCTCTCCTGGTCTGCCTCTCGGAGAACGTCATGACCGAAACAAATACACCGGAGCGCTTAAATCTTTCCAACCACGAATGCGTGAATAATTAAACCCAAATATATAATAGATAATTTAATAGAGCTTAAGAATCTTATCATTTTTAGTCATTTTGTCTTCTGATTCGAAGCGGAACACACGACCGAGCATAGAAGCATCTAATTACGAAAGTTCACCACAAGTTACTCTTTTAATTAATTCAATTCTAGGCATATAGCCTCCATATAAATCCCCGATATCGAACAGGACAACCCCATGGACTATTAACGGTGGTTGTACATCTAAAACCTCCAACCGGCTTAGTTAGTAAGGCAGAGTTTGAATGACCAAAGGAGAACAGATGTAGGATGCTATTTGAGCTCATCCTGAATCCGTACGATATGAACCGAAGAAAATAGTTTAGTGCATTCAGCAGCGATTCAAGTTCTACACTGCTGGTGGGATATTTATGAATGTTTATTATAGTATAGTATGTTATGTATTATTTATTATAGACTATATCATATCATATTATAAAAGGACCAACAGCCAAATATAGACGGCTAGTAGGATTTCATTTATGTATATATTTGAACATCAGTGCGGTTCTCGATAACTCATAATCTATGCATGTAAGCTGTTAGAATGTGAAATTCAACCAGCCGATTTGTTGAGTCTATGAGCACTCTTGGAGAATGCGTTTTTTCAACCACTGAAGTCCTGTATAATACTCAAAGTTGTAACGTTCGTGTGGACAGGACGGCAGCTTGCAGTAGCTCCTTTCATCCGGAGTAACTGACATTTATCGTGAATCCTGAACGGTACCTGTGCATACGGGAGCTAAGCTTACCGGCAAAGCAGCACTTGCTAACCTCGAAATTGTTCAGTAGAAAATTGCGTTTGATTTTTACTGCTACCCCGTTTTTCTGGCAGGTTCACGTCAGATGCCGCACCAGGGTGCATGCATCAAATCACACACGTGCAATTTACTTCACGACCCCATCATTCTTTGGTTTCTTATCACCGTAATATATATTTGTGTGACCGTTCCTTCCCTGGCTACGCATCCGTTTCCCAAATGAATCCGACTTGTCCTCCACCCCAGCGCCGGGACCCGTGCCCATCGTGTTCCCGTGCACATTCGCGAGAGGTTCCGGGCAGAACATGACAGGAGTGAGATGGATAGTTGACAGCAGGGTGTCAAAACACTGAAGATGTGTTGTGACTTACCAAAGAAACTGAGCTTTTCATTGTGTGCAAACACGATTACGTGGTTGAAACGGGGAGTGAAAGACGCGAAGATTGGTGAGGGTTGCGTGTGGATGACGGGATGGAGCGGTTGCGGGATGGAAACGGATGTGAGCGATGAAGGAAAGCCTGTTCCCCTTCAATTCAATCAAGCAGATTCACGCACATGCCCCTCACCCTTATGAACAACCGTGGAAGTTACTCGAATGGTGGTGACACCCAGCTGTGCATCAGCAAACCGTATTTGACAATGTGCCATTGAGAAGCTGACCTCAAGGAATTTGACCAGATTGCCTACGATAAATTACCCATAACCCCGTGCGTCTCTGTGTCCGTTTTCACCACCCGATCCACACACTTAATCCAAATCGCGCGAATCAGAGTTGTTGGTCGACAATGGTCTTTGTAGCACTCGCCGGAAAGTTTCACAATTCTGTAGTAGATTTGGATGTCAGGGGAGAGTGGGAACTGTTTGGGGTCAGTGGCACGACGATTAGACCACCTGCTTGTTTACTAATTAGATCAGATGGGGTCGAATTACTGCCAGTTAATCCGAAATGGAACGATAGTTATAAGAACTGAGCGGAAAAAATGTAATAGTAGAGGATGGAAAATCTCTAACCCTGCACATTAATATCAAAATTTGAAAAGAATTTCTATTTTACCACCGAGCTATTTGTTTGTCTTCAGTGACTTTCATTTATGAACTTTGTTTCCATCGGTTGAATTTCTCGTCGGATTGCCCTTTCACTAGACTGACAAAATAATTAATGCTATACACTAGCTGCACGCTCACAGTGATTCGCAAAGGAGTATCCTTCAGAAATACTAGGAAAGTATTACAATCTTAACAACACGAGATTCACGGATGGAACGGATCTCACTGAGTATTACAATCTAATTCCTAGGGAGCAGAAAAGGGGATATTGAAAACATCCTTTGCTTTGATCTATTTGATTAAAACAAGTAAGACAAAATGACTGGCGTTGACATTGGCCATCAATTTCCCTTGTTCTCAATCAGCTATCTACACACAGTGAATAGAATGGAACGTAATGAGAAGAATACTCTCTGCGAGTATGTAGATAAGCCAAAAAGTTTGCTTTTCGCATAACTACCAAACGTCTGTGGTAGATGATATAACAATTCCTTGTTCGGAACAAATACCAGACCATTGATTTTAAGAACTAACTTCATCAATATGTGAAATGCCCTAGCATCCGTTAACCTGAACCGTGTCGATTCCCAAATACGAATGCCAGTCACCTGCCCAAATCATACTCTCCAAAACCACTCCGTCAATTTGGTCGAGAGTGACCAAAGGAAAGTCCGCGGTGGTTTAACCTGAGTTTCTGCACACGTAACTGCATAAAGTACACCAGATTGGATTCCTAACCCACCAGTTTATACATCCATCAATTGAGAATTGGCGTTACCTTCGCGATTGTGTGGCGTAACGAGTCGTACAAAACAGCCGTTCCGGTACAATATACTAAACATACGAGATGTGCTTTGCCCACAGTCAATTATGGCTTAGAGATATGATCTGGTGAAACGCAAAGCCTCGTTACATTTTGCCCACCTCTCGCCTTTACCCGATTTACTAACATTCGTCACACATTTATTTGCGCATGCATACATGGGACGTCTGGACGACTGGTTGCATCGGAAAGAGAAAGGGCAGCAATTCGGGCCACAGGCAGCGTGCCATTTGGTAATCCATTCGCAAACATCACAAACACTGTTACCACTCCCCCTCTTTATGCCGTTCAGGACCACCATCACCTCCGTTATCCTTGTCTTCACCCCCACCCCACCCCACTCCACTCCACCCCTCATACCAACACATTCATTCTGTTTGCAAAACCGCACTGTTCACAGCTGGTCTACCAGACTCAATCAGCCAGTTTCCTTCATCAGGTGCCCTTCAAATTGTGCCACATTGGCTCCACAGTTTCACGCCTGTATGAACTGCGCCTACCTGCTTACCGTTCAATCTGCTATCCCCCCCCTCACGCACGCACGCATGCACACATTCGATCTTTACTTTCGCGCTGGTTGTCTGATCGACGATAAGCGTTTGGTTCTGAAATGCCTAAATGGTTGATTGACAGAAACCCCGGTGGTAAATAAAATGTTTTATATCCAGACTGGTCTTCACACATACGCACACCAGGTCGGCAAAGGTTAAGTCAATGAGCTAGGTGTTCATTCGGTAGAATACGGGAGATCGCCAAAACGACGTTAGCAAACGGTCCTTGTAAAGATAGGAAACAATGGAACGGGAAACTGGATAGTGGAACTACTTAACCTTATAAAACGTATTACCTATAGAGGAGTAGTAGGCAACAATCATTAGGTCGGACAAGGTGGAGCTATGCATCATTTCACTCTCTTTGTACCCTAGTGATTTTCTTGCTGATTATAGGTAGTTACTTCTAACCTTTTTCCACGTACACTCGTTTGTCCGTGACATCAACGCAGAGCACGAATAAATGAGTTCAAAACCGTTAGAACTAAACAACTGAAAAATCAACCCCGCCATTTTCAATACGATTACAACCTGCTATCTAAGCTTACCTTGGGAAGCCAAATGGGATGTTCACTGAAGTTCTGTAACAGATATGGTTTACGCGTTTCATTCATTTGAGGAGGCAAGGTGAGTGAACTGAACCAGTTGTTGGTCGTGATTTCGGAGTTAGGGGGCCAGTTCGATTGAAAGGTGAATGATGCTTCAGACTTAGACGGTAAATTCATGGGAAATCCATGTTGGACTAACTGGGCGATTAGGGTCATTAGCGTTGACTGTTGGAGTGGAAAAAACACCCGATGGGAGTCCTGTTGACTGGTTCATCAAGTTTGACTGAGCACCGCTTGCGAACGATCTCACTACTTCCACCGCTTGACGATCCAGTTGCGAAGGGAGGTTGTCCAGGTTGGATGAGTTTCCATGTGAGTTGGTTGATGGCCACGTAGATGTACTGACTGATTTCGATTGGGAGTTGAACTGAGATGTGTGGTGATTTAATAAGTTCGACTGAGGAAACACAGGACGCGAATATGGGAATGTTATCGGATCAAATAGGGGCAACTTTTGGATGTCTGCATTGAATGCTTGTGGTGTGCAGCAGTTGGTTGTCAAGCCTGCGATGGACGTCGGGTAACTGTCAGATTGATGAGATTCGTAGACAGAACGACCATTTTTCGAGGAACAGGACAAATCTAATTCATGCAAACTATTGAATGTTTCTGCATTCCAGTTCAGATTGGAGCTATTTGATGTGCCACGTGTAGAACCGGTTGATTTGTCGAACACAAACGAACTCTCAGATCCGATTCCGTCGGGCATATAAGCGACATTGGTCAGACATTGCATCGTTGTACTTCCCAATGCATTAATTCTGTTCGAAAAAAGAAACGGAGGGTCTGACCAAGACGGTGAATGTGACTCCGGTAACGGAGTTCTCATGCGAGGGGATTTAATTTGGCTAAGATTTTGTGGATCGAAAATTGGCGCGTGGCGTCGATAAAAGTGTGACGTATTCAGACACGAACCACCACCACTACCACCACCACCATTCGTTCCTCCGGTTGATCCAGCTGCCACGGCCGCGGCTGCCACGGCAGCTGCAGTTATTGGGAATGTGGACGGATCGAGTGCGGTGTTGGTTAGCGAAGGAATGTCGCTATCCAGGTAGCTTTCTTGTGTACTACCCAGGCGTTCCCGTTTCCTCCATTTGGCGCGACGATTCTGGAACCACACTTGAACTCGGGCCTCGGTAAGAGCAGTGCGCATGGCCAATTGTTCTCTGGCATACACATCCGGATAGTGAGTTTTCTATAAGTTTATTATAAAAGAGAATACATGCACGAAGGTGACAAAGGATACTGTTTTATATGAAGATATTTGAGATAATAAACCACCTAAATGTTTATCTGGTAATGTGATAATTCATCAGGTACAATGTGTTCTATCACCGACTACAAAGCTATTTTACTCACAAGTCCGTTATAAATTAATACAAAATTTTCCAAACGAGCTTCTGGGTACACCTTGTACAGACCTTTGTGTAAAAAATCTGTCCTTTAATCAAACCGCGTAATGTCTTCAAACTATGTGATATTTTGAGCTTAACTGGTTAGCACGTAATCAGATATAGCATCATCCCACATCAACAAAAAAATATTCTGTAACCGTATCCAGTTATGTTGTAAATTTTCTTTGTCAGATGATTCATAAAAGCACGATTTCTCGATTTTGGAGACGGCAGTAAGATATCGAAACTTCAGTAGAGAAAAATCATGAGGATTTATTTATAAAAATGACTGATTGGCATGATACAGCTATTGCAATTTCATTTTTAAGACCCTGTAGGCGATCCTTCACTTTTGAGCAGAACACCCAATCGATTTTGCGTTGGGTGCACCAAATTGACAATCAGATAGTATTTGTCGGTTTCCGTCAATACACACTTTACCCTGACCTCCGACGACCACTGTTGATCTAGCTAACTCATATATGCCTTTAACGCCGGAAAATGGCTTACCATTTCTTGGAGTATATTATTACTCCCTTCGTGAAAAGAGCTATCAGGTGAGCAGTTTGTAGTTACATAATGTTTTGATTTGTTTATGATAAAAGTATTACTTGTTGGTTCATTTACCCGATGCCGTCTGGAAAAAGATGTGCTACTTAGACTAGTTAGATTGACCAGAATAAACATCCTCGCAGAGCAATTATCAGCAATTAGAATGAATGAAATTCCACACTTTTCTGCACCAAATATTTTAAAATTTTGTGCTGTAACTATCAAACTACTGCGCAGTTTATTGTGGTACTCAAAATCACACCAATTCACATGGCGTTATATGAAAAACTAAAACTATGCCGTGGGAGATAAAGTTTGAATGGTCTATTCGTCAACCGAGTTTTACATTTAAAACTGGGATGTATTTTCCAATTGAGGGTTCTGTCACACGAGTTCCATCATTGCCTGCAGTGTGATGAAGCAGTTTCGCACCCGAAAACTTTGAGCTTTATCTGCACTGAAAAGCGTTCACATATAATGTGTAAAATAATTTCTGAATTGATTTCAACAAATAACTATGCAAATCTTCATTCAGATTACCTTTACACATCAGATTGAATCAATTCCTACACGCATGAATGCATCTGCGTACAAAATCATCAAACATTGTTCAGCTTTGATATGGACGGAAAAAGGAAAAACTGCACGTTCGTTTGTTCTCATTCATGAACACATACACAGTGAGTGGAAATGTTCCAGCATTTCACATAGCAACAAAGAGATTGCATATCGTTCCAAGAATTTCGAACACCAGGGCCAGGAATCGTGAGTTAACAGTCTGAATTGAACTGTGGACCAGTCTCACTGTGTTTGTGGTATGTATGTACGATTTTCCACTCACCATCGCTTTCCAGCTGATAAAGTAAAGCTCAAATTTTGATAAATCGATATCCCAATAATGGAAAGAACAGCATTGATTATGTTGAAGAAGTCTTGGTTCAAACTCCTAATTCCTGTCATTTACAAACAAATGAGAGGAGTAAAGCTTGACTCAAAGAACGCTGTTCCCTTTTGTGTTTACCGGAATTGGGAAGGTGTGAGCTAAAAATTGTAGGGCGATAGTTTTGATTGGTCACCAACTCTGACTGTATTTGATTTGTTAGCCGCTGTTTCCCCAAGGTATATGAGTGCGTTATGTGCAATCAACGCCTTATACATCAGGAGCCGTTGTCCCATTAGGGTAGTAATTTAATTTCAGTGCAAATCCCCATTAAATATATCCGATTCCTAACTTCGGCACCTGAGATTATTGATTGATGTTAACTGTTGGACCAATGTTTGCCTGCTGTAATCACACTACTGAATATCTTAGTACAGTGAATCACAAAGTCCTGCTAAACTTCTGATATATCAAATGAATAACCAGGAACGAGAAACACACAGGATAGCCCGAAGGAACTTTTTTCCATGTCACCTATACTGTAAAATTACAACACTTGGCTACTCCACCATTGTTAGGTATAATTTTTAAGCCTAACCTGAATGACTGACTTCTGTTCTGAAGTCGAGCAAATAAACATCAAACCACCAAAATTATCATCAGTTCTTAGCATCAAATCCGAACGACGTCCGGGGTGTATCAAAAATGTATGCGCCCTGTAATATGTTTTATATAAGTTGTAATTTTGAAAATACTTCGATGTCAGTACGGGTGAAAGTCGCCTTGATAAAGGTTACCCACGGTAACCGAAATGTCGGCTTATTTTGACCCGTACCGATATCACTGTTTTCACAATTACAGCTTATATCATCAATTCCGTTTTCAGATGAAAAATGTATGGACAGGTTTAAATATATATAAATATATAAATAAATAAATATTATATATATATATATACACGAGGCAAAATGGAGTAGACTCATTCAATTTCTCACCTACTGCATATTAAGCGATTCAAATGATTTTTTCCGCGGTTGACCCAATTTACCACCATTTTTGTTGATGTGATAGATTAATATCCTATGGCATTAAAAGGGGTGGTGAACTCGATCGAGGTGACCAATTTATCCGAAGATGGTAGCCATACCAACTTCAACGTCATTATAATCATCCTTCGGGGTTTATAAATTTATAGCCTTCTTCCATTATTTACAGTTGCCATGCTTTCACCGTAAGCATTAAATGAATGGAATCCTTCTGTTCGATAATATCCTTCAATTATTTCTAAAACTAGTCAACTGGTACGCGTATTTCATGGTACATAAAGACAATCCTAAGTTTGTCGTATGCATGGGGAGGGAGGTGGACTTAAGTCATCCCCAACGCTCATCTGTAAATGTCCGGGTTACTTTCGGAGACATTTCTCTCACTCTGGGGGGGGGTGTGTGGAAATCGGGAGAGGGAGGAGGAGGGGGTGGCGGACGACAAGGGGAAGTGAACATGGGACAAGAAGATCGATTCCGGAATTCAGAAAACAGCAAACCATCAATCCACCGACAAGTGACAGTGACAGTATGTTGCGTTCACAATGGCATAGCGAGAGCCACATGACAATTTAAGAAACGCAGTTACAAGTTCGGTCGCAATCATTTTTGTGATCCGGATAAAACTTGTTAACCATTTGTCCTTTGCCAATGCCTCTTTTTCCACCCCCAGTGCCCCATGCCCGACATACAAAACGCAGTCCTATCTTACATGCAACATTTGCACTTCAAGTGGCTTGGTAAACCACGCAGAGTTTGGAATTAGGTGAGCGATACTAGCCGGACTTCTGACAATTGCAGACTATCGTATAGATATTTGACAAGTAGTCACGGCAGCCACATCGCCAGCATCAGTCTACCATTTTACCAGTTTTCCTCATTTTAGGTACAATTTCCATGGATTTCTTCTTGCTAACATTTCTTCACTTTAGTTAATTACTGAAAAATAAATCACTTGCTATTTACACTTTCAAATAGTGTTGTTTTACTGTCGATAGAAGGCTGCTGATCTTGCGTACCGGTAGGTGGCCAGCAAATTCACTCTGTCTGTTTTGAACCTTGACGTGAGATGCTTGTAGCCAACGACCTTAATTGGTGCATGGGAATCTCGACTGCTTCCAATAAGACAAGAAGACTGTTTGCGCGTGAGCATTGGGGTTTTCACACCAGTTCCTTATTTCGCATTTCCCCATTGGTGTAATTGTGAACCCTAATTTATTCACTGTATTGTTATTCTGTAATACTTGTCGCTGACGGAATCAGATACTGCCGCATTTTACGTAGTAAACCGAAAATAAACTTGCCCACTCAAGGTGAACACAACTAACTGCAACTGTCTGAAAATCGCCTATTCTGTGTTGCAGTCGAGTGCCATAGGAAGCATGATCCGTCTGAAAAGTTATCTGTCCACGGGAGCCATTCGATCTCGGATTTAGCACCGAACATCACATTCATATTGCATTAGGTGGGCTACAAAGGTAACTCGGAACAATGAATATCATCAGTAAGAGATAAAACTCTGGACAAGTATCAACCAAATATATATATTTTCCAACACCGAGTATTTGGCCTAAACCTACTGAATACAATTCACATTTGGTTGTAATGTTCATCATAAGTTGTTGAACTGATCTGCAGAATATTTAGTTTGTTTCACTTGTTCGATTAACGTGCTCGATGGGACCTACTCCCATATGCAATTGTGTGCCCCGATCAACCTAACCAGTGAGTCATTCTGGTAAACTGCTCAATGTATCAGTCATCCGCGAATCGTTTCATTGAATAAATTCCGTTGGGGTAGAATGAACTTCCAATTTCGGAACTCTATGCCTTATCAAACAAAAGATTTTTTCAAAAGTAGTGGAAATCCATAGATTCTATGCTTGTTCGGTGTCGTTGACAGAGCATATCTATCAACCCTCTGACGACTCACCTTGGAGCCTGGAAACTTTTGTGCCTCATCCTATCGGGGTTGAACGTTATCGTTATGGTTTCGGGCTGTCCGTCTCAGCGTGAATCATTCTCACTAAACTCGACACACGCAAATTCGTTTCCGGGCGAGTTATGCATGCGCGACCTATAGTGATGAACTGAAAAATGATGTCAACGTCACCGGAAATGCAGAAACTTTCAAAATGATTTCGTTTAAGTGGGTTACCTGACATATTCCCCCAGAAGCACCTCAGTGTTTACGGTGCCTTAGTTGCGCTACACGTGTATGACACCCAATATAATGCACATAATTTTTCAAAGAATAAATGACGGTAGAAACAAGGAAGGAGAAGATCGACAGAACTTTGAGTCCAGCTGAACATGGAGACCAAGG